CACTTGCTGCCTCTTCAAGCATTTATTCGCTTCTCCAATGGCTCAACTCCGGTCTGATATTCTGCGGGCTCAGGTTTATGAGATGTCACAGTGATGATAAGGGATATCGATATAAGGGCCTTGCTGTCCCAACGCCGGCGTTGGGCTCTTGCAGTTGCTACACTTCTGTGTCGTACCGACCAGTGCCGCGGATAACTGCTACCTTTCAGATCTACAACAACATGGGATCATCGATCTTGACATTTTTTCTTGTAAAGGACGGGTGCAAGTGCAACGCTGCCTCCTGGCCTCCTACCAACGCCTGCCCTCCGCTTTCTCTACACCAGCAAGTGGCTTTGTGGCTGGCTCTCCGCCCAATACCCTAACCCCTTCTCTTCTCATTTCCCTTTCCCCAGCTCCCCCGAACCAGCAGCCAAGGCCTTTACTACGACCATAGTCGGGCCCTTGTCCTTGCTGTCACAGGTTGCTGCAGAAATTACATACTTCTGCGTCGTGAGACGGGCTGTCAGCATGCTGATGTTCCTGTTACGACACTGGATCTGGGTGGATAGTCATCTCACATGATTCCATATTACCGTGCGTACGGTTCAACTGCGTCCGTCAACCCAGAAGTTCCGTGATATTTGGCAAAGCTGTTTGGCCGTTTCCACGAAGAGGAAGGTGCAAGCAACAGAAGTACAAGGGGTTCATTGTCTTCAACAAAGACCAGGTTTCAACTCTCGGATCTCGGACCAAAAATCTAGCCAACTTCATGATGGGAGGGAGTGACTAGCTCCATCGACACCCTGCCCGGCATCATTCAACTTTGATCATGTTTCGATCGTTGTTTCTGAACCCATGGCTAACATCTAGATGCTTGCCGCTTCTTAGCCGAGTTCTAGGGGGTTCTCTGTGGTCTGCATACCTATTGCCTACCTCTATGGCGTTTCTCGTTTCCAGCAGAAGACTTCAGTTGCCGAGTATGAAGGGGCTCTAACGTGTAGGGGCTTACACTGGGCTATAGCGTGATGGGTACGGAGACACACTAGCGTTTTAGCGGTGAAGTTGGTGGCGCGCCAGCGACCTTTTTTGATCGTCTCATCCCCGCCAGCAGCAGGGTTCCGGGGCCAGCCCCTGGGGTCTTCAATTGCGCTTGCGGAAAGCAGCTACCGAAATGCGACGACCCTAAGAGCCCCTGGCGTCTTTCAGCATTGAAGAGCCAAGCACGGTTGTCCCGTATAGTTCTGGCTGACCTTTCGAACCCCTTCTTTCATATCCATTCGGATACCACCCTGCCATTCTTTCCATTCTTATTTCCTTCTGCTTGAAACGGAATCACACCCTCGGCACGCCCCCTCGTTTCCACAAGGCACTCAGAAACCGAAATGGAACGGCCTCACAACAACGGTGTGCTATGAGATATCCTTCTGCACAACAGGGCAAGAGTAAGATTTGAGTTGGACATATTAGGCAGGCGCCTAACAATGGCCTTGTTCCCCATCCTGGCGTGTTGAGGGATCGAAAACACACAAGCACACCGGCCTCGGTTCTCTCGGTCGGTCTGTCGGCTCAACTGCCCTTGACCTGCTCATCTCCAGATGTCTTGATGGGGTACACTATGTAACCACCATCGCCGAGAATCAAACGGAACCAGGCTTGTTAGGGGTTGTTCTGCCGGTGACAAGACCCTTTCTGTCCCATCAAGCCGTTGTGACAGATACTAGCTCAGTGGGGGTACCAAAGGGTAAATCGTTCGAGCAACCAACCTGGAAGTGACAGTGGGAACTCCAAAAAAAGAAGACTGGAAACTGGGGGTCTTGGCTGTTCCTGCTTTTAGTCTGGCTTGTGGTCTGTGGGCATGATCATTTCCCCTTTCTTTCCTTCGAGGTCTCCTATGAACTGACTAGCAATGGACCGAGACCCCAGAAACCAGCTCGTTTTGTACTACACTACACCAGTGGCCCTTGCTATCGGAGGAAAATGCATGGGCATAGTTGCAGGAACCAGAAACAGAACAAGAGAGGATGGTCACCGTAGACACACGGACTTCCACAAGGACTCGGGGAGCCTTTACGACGGACAGGAAAGGCAAGGATGGGCGACGCTTTTGGGTGGGAGAGGGGTCATGTCGGAGGGTGGGTGGTGATGGATGGTTGTATGGAATTACGGGTGGGTGGATGGGCGGATGGAGACATGGCGAAAGGGGGGGGGGAGAGGCTGAGGGAGAAGAGCGGTTGCAGTACACCCTCCATCACCCATTTTCTGGCTACGAGGCAAGTCTGGAGTGGGAAGTGTGACTTGTGAGTGGACATCAGGATGTCACATACACTGGAAGGACACCCCTCTCCGTACCTTTCCTCGTCCCTCCCTTCCCCTCGACTCCTGCCGCAGTTTAACATCCAGCTAGTCAGCCCGTTTCAACCATAGAAGTCTATGGTGAGGTAATGGCAGAGCAAAACATGGCAAGCAAGCATGCTAGGGTTGTTGCTGTTCCTACCTTCGTCACGATGGGATGGGCAACAACCCGCAAGCCACAGCGTTGCGTATGGGTAGGTTAGGTTATCCATCCGTGCCCGCAATCATACACTAACTGGGTGCAGAGTGTGCAATTGGACGGGATGGCACGGTAGGTAGTGTCTTGTCCGGGGTCCATCTTCACGGCACTGGCACAGCAACAGCCGAGTCGTCTTTGACTACTACAAGACACGAAAACGACTGTCAGTCAGTTTGCGTCACGACGTTAACGGGCCCAGTTGGCTAACTATTAGTATATAGGGCCTTGAGGGGTAGTTTTCACTCGCGGAGATGACATGGGATTAAGAGGCTGGCTTTTACTATTACCGACGTGAAATATTGAACACGAATTTGAAAGCAAGTTATTGATAGAACTCACAGACAGACGTCTATTGCGGTAGGTAAAAGCTCCTGCCTTTCTTAGAAGTCTCTCCTCTCTTGGCGAGTGCCTTGGCTGACTGCTACCTAGGGTAGTTCCTACTCACATGCCAGTATGAAAAACACCAGGAGGAGTACGTCCAGGCTTAGACAGATGAGCTGAGCCAGGACTACTCAGCGGCCACAACAACTGCGATGATTGCAGTGAAAACTTTCATGGCTTACCAGGTCTGTCTTCACCCATGAAAACAAACGCACATGATCAAGTAAAAAAGGAAAGGAAGTGAAGTGATGTAACACCAAAAGAAAGCCCGGGTTGGTGACCCGGATTATCGGAAATGAGCTCCGGCCGAACGAGAACGAAGGACCTGTCACTGTGTACCTAACAACCATCATATAATCCATCCAAGAGAAATAGTAACCCTCTCGTGCAGAATCACAAATCATTATGAACAAACGGCGCGCTTACCTCGGCTTTTTTCACTTCGTCTTAATTCCAGTTCCTTTCCTTATTGCCCACCACAAAATCCCGAGATTAAAAGGCATACGTGGCTTCCCCTCGCTTCACTTTCTCCCTCTTTTTGGGTTGTGGTATGGGTATGTATCGTATGCCTCGCCTCGCTTCCACATACAACCTACCTTCTAGGTATCCATCCATCCATCCATCCATTGCATCCATCCTTCCCGTGCCTTGCGTGGCGCACGGAATGCCATACCGTAGGTATCATGCCATGTCATGTAAATCATATGTGTATGCGTCTGTCTAATCTGTACGTCTATCACACTGCTTATTTCCTTTCCTTTCCCTTCCTTTGGGTAGGTAGCCTAGCCTAGCCGATATAGATGGATGGGATGGATTGGGGGAAGAGGTCATATATATTTCCTATACCTTATGCATAGAAGAGACGAGAAAAAGACCACAGGAAAGTTAGTGTAACCCCCCATCAAAATCAAATCAAGATAGACAGACAGACAGATATACAGGAACATTCTATGTATAGAAACTCATATATAGCCGGCCCTCCGACCATCTAACCAACCATCCAACCGAACTATGTATCGTGCAGGAAAGGAAGGCTGGCTAGCTCGCGGCTGGGGTCTTGGGGAAGCGCGCACCCAAGAAGGGAGGGGAGACATTGATCTGAGCCGAACCAAATTGAACCAGACAGACCGAAAAGACAGCGTCGCGTTCCGGTCGCGCTGATGCTGATGCTCTGTGATGATGTTTATTTCTTTTTTTAAGAAAGTTTTTGGAGGTATAATGTGTGTTTCTGAGCTATGTACTTCTTTCCTCCACCAACGAACAAACAAGATGATGAAGATCAAGTGGCCGATTGCTGGTATGTACTCATCGTTCCGGACGGACAAGATGAATAGAAGCTACACTCTCATCTTTAATATACTGACTATCCCATGACAGCATATGAACTGAACTCGCATGAAAGCACGAACAAAACAGACCCTTCAACGTAGCCAGAGCTAGTAGGTATTCGTAGAATTAAAACGGAACACGAAGGGTATGTGTGTGTGCAAGACACTAGGAAGAGTACACTAGGTCTAGGTAGGCACGTGCGTAGCATCAACCCAGCTCCATTCAAAATTTGGTTCGGGATATATTACAACGAGAGGAAGTTCTCTTTCCATGGGTGAGCATAGGAAGAATAATCGTGGAATGGCAGAGTTAGAGAATGTACGTAAGCAATTTGAAGGATAATATTGAAAAGTGTAAGGACCTTGCAAACTATAGACGATGAATGTGTTTTCTTTGGGCAAGACGACCTAATTGTATATATCCGTGTACTGTTGTCTATGCACGAGCTGGGTACGTAGCTGTGAGGATGATTATCAAACATTTGTTAAAAACGCTGTATAATCTTTATTCAAAGTTTTTATGAGGAGCTCCCGTTGGGAGTCCAGGTATGCAAGGAAGAGGTAGCTAACGTATTCCCTTTCATTCTTCCTTAGAAGCATGCCGCTGATGAAAGCCAACGAAACACAAACAATGGGATTTTTTTCCCAATTCCGCTGTACAGACTTTTTCTAGTTTATAGACATTGCCATTATCAGTTTCATGACCCCTGTACTTTTTCTGTTCCTTTCTGCCTCAGTGATGAGTGACCGAAAAAAGACTACCAGTCATCATCGTCAAATAGCAAGTCCTCCTGATCCTCCAGCGCCAGGTGCACAAACTGCCTAATCCACGCCTCCTGCTGCGGATCGAGTCGTATCCCGTCCGGAACGTTGACCTGTATGTTATCGGGATTGTTGGGATTATCAAAGTCCATCCTGGGATCGTTAGGACCACGTCTTGCCCTGCCTCCCACATTACCCCTGACCGCATTACCACCATTACCACCACCACCACCTCTGTTTCCTCCTCTGGCAGCCGCACCAGCACCGACGCCACCGTTGTTGTGGTTGTTGTTGTTGTTACGGTTATTATGCCGGTTGTTCGGGGCACCTCCTCGATTCTGATGTTGTCCCCGAATATTTGCTCCCCCTGCCCCTTGTCCTCCTCGGGCATTGTCTCCCCAACCTCCTCCTCCTCTTCCTCCTGCTCCACGGCCACCACCTGCGGCAGGGCCATTGGGGGCGGCAGCAGCACCAGCACCAGCACCAGCACCTCCACGACCACGACCTCCTGCCGGCTGATTACCTCCATCTATCCGTAGGATGAGAGGACCTTCACGCGCAACCGCGACTTCACCTCTTCCTGCGCCGTTTCGGTTTTGCGCTTCCGCTCCCATGGCTTCTTGAGGTTGCCTATTAAGCTCTCTTTCACCAAAGGGAGGCGGTACCCTAAAAGCGTCCTCCTCATCGTCGCTCTCAATCTCCAAGTCTGCCATCAGCAGCTCCATGAGTTGTTGCTCCGGTAGGTCTCCAAACCCGGGAGGCGCTGCTGCTGCGGGTGCGGGTGCGCCTGCCACTGCCGCTCCTCCTCCTCCGGGACCAGCACGCCCAGCAGCACCTGGCGGAGCAGCACCAGCACCGCCTTCGAACGCCAAGCCGACATCATCGCCATCGCCCTGTTCCAACTCCCAGAGTCGCTGGTAACACCCGGTGATTCTCCCGCCGGGCATCTCGTTAAAGTGCTGATAGGGATTACCTGGATCCAGCCACGCTGAGCAGAGGTAACAGAAGTGCGTCTGGCACCGGTAGCAGATCATGTGGTTGCAGCCGTGCGTCTTTTGAGCAGGCGCCGCGCATGTCGGGCAGGGGGTGGTGTGCAGCTTCATGTATTCGAGTGAAGCGATCTCTTCGGCTGTGAGCTCTTCGTTCTTTCGGGGTGCTTGGCAACGGACGAATTCGCCATGCCAAGATTGATTGCACCGAGAGCAGAAGGCGAAGTTGCAGTCTTCGCAGATGGCCAGGAGCTCGGTCGCGTTGTAGGGTTTCGAAGCACCGCTGGCCCCCGTTTCCTCCTCTTCGTCCTCCTCCTCGGCGTCATCGTTGAGTTCTAACCCTTGCGGCTTCTTGTGCTTCTTGGATCGAGCAGCCCCGTTGCACCATTGTCGCGGGCAGTAGATGGTGTTCTTGTCGGACTCGAGCTCGGTTTTGTACTTGAGCGTGACAAAGCGCTTCACCATCTCCTGGTCGAGTGGGATTTGTAGAAGTTCGCTCGGGCTGAGGTGCGTCTTGGGCTTCTTCCGCTTCTTGATCCCTGAAGACGAAGCGGCTGCTTGTTCGCGCTCTTTGGCGCAGTTTGGTGCTAGACAGCGGACAGAGGCGAGATCACCTTCTTTGATGGCGTTGTTGTAGAAGTCCTGTAGACACTCCACGCAGAAAACGTGCTCACAATCGATCATCTTGTGACAGACCGTGCCTTTCTTGGGATCTGTAATTGTGCGTTAGCAAGTCGTTCGTTATGACACGATATAACACGATAAACACGTACCTAAGCACACTCCGCACTTGAACGTTTCCTTCTCAAACGCTGCCCGACGTGCCTGGATATCAAAATCCATGATAGCGATCCTGTGCTGTGGGTCAACCTCCAAGGTCCCCTTCTCGTCCACAAGCTCAAAGACATTCTCAGCTGCCTGCTGGATGTGGTCGATGTACGTGAACCCAACCATATCACGACCCATTTCTTCCCACAGCTGCGGCCCATCATCCTCGAGTCTCTTGATGGTCTCCTTGGAAAGCCACGGAGGGTCCGCAGAGATGGTAACAACCGGCGGTTTCTCAGCCGGGTAGTCGGGTCCGAAGATGATCTCTAGGTGGATGGGAGGCAAGTGGGCTACCTCATGACGATCAAGAGCCCCAGCCCCGGCGCCGGCGCCTTCAGCCGGACCTGCTCCTCCCACACGATCCGCACCGTTCGAAGGACCTCCATTTGCAGCTCCATTGACGTGGTTCACTCCATTTTGCTGAGTGTTTCCTTGCGCCCTGGGGTCCGTGTTTGGGTCCGCGGCAGCGGGGTAGTAGACGAGAACTGGCTTGGTGGGGTTGACGGGAATATCGATGGCGATGGCGTAGGGATCATCTGGGCGAGGATGTTGGATCTCGGGATAAATGGCTATGAGAGAGCTGAGCTCGGTATCGCGGGGGCTGTCGAAGTCATCATAGTTGAAGGAGGCCATCGATACGCGATGTTGCGCCAAGACTTGAGGATATATCTTTGTGGTGTTTTGGTTGGTGTTGCCCACCCGTGTTGCTACCTGGACGATTTGTAGCAGATATGAGAGAAAAGAAAGTTTCGATTTGAGGGAAGACTCTGAAAAGCCATGCAGTAAAGCTTCGTTTCCGATGAAGAGTTTGTGAGTTGTGGATGAGGCTGTAGGAGCTTAAAGGTGTCTTTAGTCGGAGTTTACGTCTAAACTTGTGAGACGGAAATGCTAAGAGAAAGAGCTAAAATGGCTAGTGGAAGAAAAGCAAGTTAATAGATTTGTCAGAAGCAGATGGAAATATCCCTCTCGTTCAGAATAAACCAGTGCATGCAAAAAGAGAAGTAGGGAAGTCCGTTGCATTTATTAGTCGCATATCCCGACCGGTATCCGCGTTGATAATCCGTAAGGCTAAGTATGAGAGGCAAAGGGAGGCAAATTCGTAAGAAATATCTTTTCCCACCGTCGGGTGATGCTAGAGCGATTTGAAGGTTGATGGTCGTTGACTGTTGAGTAACGGAGATTCGCCGTCGGGTCTCCGACCCCAGATGACTCGCCTGCCGGCGCCGGTGGTGTGGTCGTCCCCTTCTTGGCAAATCAACGGCCAGCGAAATCTGTTAGTGCATGACCCTAAAATGGTAGCCTGACGTGCTGAGCCTTAACTGCCATTTGCTGCCGCAGAAGCCCAGAACAACGCCATCTCCAACGGGCTGGCTCCGCTTTGCAAGCTCCCGATTGGCTGGGTTCCACTCTACGTAGTGCCATCTCGTTCAAGCTTTCGGTTCCTTGTTCCATGTGTAACAACACATTCTCCGCACAATTTGAAGCCATCACCACTTCTCGGCTTCGGCTGTTGTTGTACCTTTGTCCCGTATCTAAGTCGCAATACCGCGGAATCTCTGTCGTATATCCTCAAATGCAATCTTAACCTCTCCTTGTCTCCCTATAACCCAATTCCTTGACCACCCACGGCGCACCCCGCGCGTACCTACCTACCCTCCCAGATCACAACCATGGCCGACGACGTAACACCTCTCGCCTCGCTCTCGTTGACCCATGTCTACTATGTACGCTCTCTTCGCCCCCTACAAGTCCAAACCGCTTCCACTAACCCTTCTTTCTCTGCTCAACAGAACCCAGACGACCCCGTCTCCCTCCTCTGCGCCTGGCTCGCCCTCGTCCCGCAAGCGCTCTGCGTCGTCTACGCGACTCTGATCTGGTCCACCCGCGAAGCCGAAGTGATACTCATGTTCGCCGGCCAGCTCGCCTGCGAGGCCGCCAACTTTGCGCTCAAGCGCTTGATCAAGGAGGAGCGGCCGGCCAGGATACACGCGACGGGTGGCAAAGGGTACGGGATGCCGAGCAGCCATGCGCAGTTTGCGTTTTTCTGGGCCGTGGCGGTGGGGCTGTTTCTGCTGGGGAGACATACGCCCAAGGAGAAGCAGCTACAGCTACAACAAAAGCAGAAGGAAAAGAAGCAGGCTACGAATGGGAATACTACTACAACAAATGGTCCTGGGAATGGAAACGTCGGCTTGTTCAAGACCCTAACCGACAGCGCCACCGACCTCGAGCGCTACGCCCACGAGCCCTGGTCCTTCGCCCACCGCTTCGTCGCCAGCCTGGGCGCGCTGGGGCTCGCGGGCGCTGTGGCCTGGAGTCGCATTTACTTGGGCTATCACACGGAGAAGCAGGTGCTGGTGGGCTGCGGAGCGGGAACGCTATGCGCGGTTGCATGGTTTGTGGTCACGCACGTGGTGCGGCAGTCGGGCTTGCTGGGGCAGATCTTGGATTTCCCCGTTGTCAGGTGGTTCCGGGTCAGGGACCTAGTTGTGGAGGAGGATCTGCCGCAGGCTGGGTGGGAGAAGTGGGAGGAGCAAAGGTTGGCGAGGAGGGAGGTGGAAGAGAGAAAGAAGGAGTTGTGAAGGGTGCGGGTTGTATTTTCAAATGGGTCGTGCCACGGCATGTTGGACAAGAGGGATGTATGGGAGCGGGTGTACATATAGGCCTTAGATGGAGAGGATATACCCTATGAATTTTTATTAATGCTTTGTTGACGACAGAAAGAGCGAAATCGCGTATGCTTAGGTATGAGTCGATGATGCATGCATATGGAAGCTTTACGGCTGAGTCACTTGGGCCGCTTGAAGAGATTCATTGCGATGACATGTGGCACGAAACACGAAACCAAAGGCACAGGTAACTAACTTGACGATATCTTCAAAGCATCTTTTGACAACTGAAGAAGGATGCGCCCGCCATACTAATACATGAAACTAATACAACGCCCAAGACAATGCAGATCTTTATCCAACTTTATCGTCCCTCGTATAACCAACCAAAACGATCTGGATCTTGGAGTTGAAACTTTCGGTTGTCCGGTATCCCGTAACTGTTTTTCCCTGCGAGATTCGGCCTGTTTCACCACCTGCCCGTCCATCTTTTCTTCCCTTCTTTCTTTTCCCTCTGCCGGATCGCATTCTTGTACTGTCCTTGTTTTCACCGGTTCCCAAGAAGCTCTTAGAGCAGCTTTCTCACTGCACATAAAGCCACAACCGTCTTTCATATCTACTACTCATGGTTCCCAGCTCATCGTTCTCCCGAAGGCGGCACCTCAACAATCTGGGGTGGTTCCGGCTGGCTCTGGCTCCCTTGTTGGGCCGCCGCCTCCGCCTGAGCTTTCGCAGCAGCGGCGGCAGCTTGCTGCTCCCTCGCCTTTTGCGAGTCCAGAACTGCCTGCATCTCCGGGGAGGGGTTGAAGCCCGCATGGTCCGAGTGCTTCTTGTAAAAGTAGCTATCCGGCTTAAGTTGGGGAAAATCGTCCGGAATCGCCTTGGTGAGGACCAATTCAAGGATGGCATCGACGGACTTCTGCTTGGATGCGTCTCGGTGCCAGATGGAGATCAGGTGGGAGTTGAAACGAACTGAGAGGCCTACGCCGCAGAGTTGATCGCCTTTTTCATGTTTGTCATTGTGTGTCAGCACCACGATATTTTCACGATGTCATGAGAGAGAAATTGGAATGAAAACTTACCCTCCTCAAGCGCATCCTGCAGCTCCTCACCAATAGCAAGGAGCTGCACGCGGGTCCAGAAATCAGCCCCGTTGGCCTTGGGAACGCGGAAAGTCCAGCTACCGCCGAGAATGTTGCGGCGGTCTTCCCAAATGGGCTTGAACCCGGCCTTGAACAGGTAGATGGACTCGCGCATCTTGATGTTGTCAATGGGCATGTTGTTGTTGTAGCGCCAGAAATCCTGGACGCTCTCGATCGTGGACCCGAGTTGCTCCAGCTTCGAGTGGTAGTTACCATCGGCGGCGGACTTCTGGTCTTTATCAGGTCTATTTACGGCAATGTGTTAGAGGATACTACATCGCAAATATGTAAATTTATTTGGAGAAGTAGAGGTACGCGGATGCTTGGTACTCTGACAGAAGTTTCACACATACCTATCGAACCAAACGTTCCAGTAATGCTGCGTCGGCAAAGGACGCATAGACTTGAGGAAGTTGCGCTTCAGGTCACCACGATCTGTGGATGGTGGGCTCACGTTTGCATCGGTACTTTGCGACAGGCCGGAGGGGCCGCGCGTGGAGAGACCTGGTCTTGATGACATTGTTCCGGGATAATGTGAGTGATGCCGGAGTTTGATGATGACCCAAGGTACCGCAATTCCAATCGGGCTTGAATGAGAGGAGGGACAGATATATATATGTACTGAGATAAAAGGGGAAGCCCGAGAAAGTGGTGTTTCCAATGGCTGGTTAAGGAGGCTACCTGACCCCTAGAGGTACATAAGCAATAAGTGAGGGGGAGGGCTGAGAGCCTGTGATAGGAAGTCCGTGACGGCACGCTGCTTGTGATTTTGTGAGGATTCGAAATGTGATGACCAACGCTGGTTGGCTTCTTTGTTGGGCTTGTCACTGTTAACAAATGATGGATCCAAGAAGACTTGTGAGATTATAAGTCCCGCTGATCAATGGGAAGGAATATCGGATGAACAGATAAAGAGACAGAGTTGGAGAAAGTTTGAGGTCATGATAAAACAATGAGGCGGCGGCTATCGCTCCCGTACCTCTTAGTCGCGTTCCATCAGTTGGACGCTGTGTCGTTCCGGACCAACGACATGAAACACTATCACTGCCAGCTGACGAGGGGTGTCAGGGAGGCGACAGGATCAATGTTCCCCAGGTTTCAATCACCAACAACCGCCCTGGCAGACGTCGCATCATGAGCTCCCAAGCTAGATCCGTCCACACATGCTCGAAGTCGTTTCAACGGTCCCAGACGAGAGGGACCTTTCGGAATTTGAATCATCTTTGTGGAGGATGCGGGGAACCGGGGTCATTGTGCCAAATCCCACGATATCAAAAATCATGACTATGCCGGCGAGTACTGATATGTATCTGTGTGTATTTTTATGGTTAGACGTTGAAAGGCAGCTGTAGTTTACTTCCCTATCTTGGGCCTTCAGTATATATGGCGATCCTTGACTAGGTACCTTAACCCAGGTACCCATGGCTCTGCTACTGCTTTATGGGAATGGTCTATGAAGATGTTGGGTAAAGTGCTCAATGCAGGCGGAGTAGAGAAGGGTAGATAGAGGCAATGCACAAATATGTAATTCCACTCATATGAAAACATTCATTGAAGACAGCGGAGAAAGGTGATGTTAAATGTATGCCCGTAGCTTCCATTATCATTTCATCCGGTGTAAGTGCAGCTGGGAAGTGCATCCTGATAGCGTGTTTTAACAGTTTAAAATGTGGTGTTCCATACCAATTTGTTAGTGCTGTCCATATACACTAACGTACCTACAGGAACGAACAAGGCACCGCGCTGAAGCACAGTGAGCACAGTTAGGAATTCGCACCTGCAGTCCGACCGACAAACAGGATTTTGGTATCCACCTACTTGAATATCAACTCAAAAGTCATCGCCAGGCCATGTTCAGATGACCTTCATCCTCTCATCATGACACCCATTTCTTGCAAACACTTTCCCGGGAATTGGAAATAGACAGGAACTTTCGCATCCACCACTTTTATTTGCAACTTATCGCCTTGGAATTTTTCAAAAAGACATTCCAGTTAGAAATTGTTCGGTGCTACTGTAAGACCTCCAGACCTAGAATTTCCTTCTACTATCATTCCATACCTTCCCACTGACATTTCTTCCCGATAGTGCTCAGAAACTTTTAACATCCTACCTCTTCTTATTCTCATCACATCAAATCGTCAAATCGGGGTACGCATCGCCTTCGGTTCTCAAATTCTTCAGAAATGTTCAATATGGCATTTCGACCCAAGCCTACCGATGCCATGGACGACGACGTCGTTGATCTTCGTCCCCAAAACGCCCAACCGGGCCCTGCCCAAAAGCCCGATATGCGATTCGACCTATCGACATTCGGAAACTCCGACCTTGCCAGCAAACTCCCTGGCTTCCTGGAGGAGATGGCCCGTGCGAATCGCGAGACCCAGCAGCTCATGGCAGCCGACCCCAAGGCTGCTCGAATTGAGATCGACGACGACGAGGAAGTCGACACGCAGGTCATCGAGATGAATCTCTACTCGGGCGTGCTCGAGTCGGAGGAACCGAAGAAGGAGATTGTCATGCCCAACGGGCAACCGTTCGCCGGGGATGGTATTATTGATGGCGATGCTGAGCCGTTCATCTCGGAGCCGGTCGAGGTTAGACACACTACCACCACTACCAACGACAGGAAGCGCCGAGCTTCGTCTTCCTCCTGCGCCAGCAGCGCCAGCAGCAGCGTCAGTAGCAGCAGCTCCGAGGGAGAGACCCGGATTATCAAGATCCCAGTCTTGGAAAGAGACAACGCTAGGGAGGGCAGCCCAGACTCGCAAGCATCCGCGGACAGCACGAACGGTCCAAGCTCCTCCTCAAGCAAAGGAGTTAAGCTTCCCAAATCGCCCTCGCCCCCTCCAAGGACCAAATCAGGCAGCGAAGCTCCTGCTACCGGGACCTCTTTGATGGAAGCAACACTAGCAACAACCAAGAGAACCGATCTCAAAGGACGCAACAGTCCCTCCCCTCCAGTGAAATGTCAAGATGTCCAAAACTGGGTGAACGACCAGCCATCCATGATGGGGGATTACACCGAGATTGCTGGGACGCCCAACAGAAAGGTGCTGGTTCCGCTCAGCAGGCTGGGGGCCAAACAATCGCAGAAGAATGTGCAGGACTGGGTGAATAGTCAGTCGGGCCAGAGCGGATCAGCAGGCCGATCAGCTGCTGTTAGTGTTGAAGAAGGAGGAGGATACCTGGAGGTTTACGAGAAGCAGCGTGACTAGTAGGGTCTTGTAGGCCCGAAAAAGACAATATCTCCCCCTCTCCTGTCTTGAGACGAGGCCAAGGTACTTTATCTCCTCCCGACTGATACAAAGCTGGGCTGCTGCTGCTTGTTGGATGTTAAAATAAGTAACAAATCATACATACATGCAGAAACCACCTTAGTTCATCTTGTATCGCCCAACGACATCTGGATATGCATCACGGGAGCGGTACAGAGCAGAGCGGAGCGGAGGATCACACAAACCGAAGCAACTCGACAAGCGGTCGCAATGATATCCAGTGTTTTACATCATCGCCGAAGCTACTGAGAAACGGAAAAAAAAAAGTAGTGGCGTTTCAATACGACAAGGAATACGGCATTACCCGATTTGTTCAACGATCCCCAACCAGATGTTCAAACATTGCAACATGACGATATGGTAACATAAATGGCGTTAGTCGGAGTAGGTATTCCTTTTTGTTTTCCACGGCAGCGGCACGAGACAGGAGAGACTGGGAAATGAATGGGAAAAGGAAAGTCGGGGAGGCATATTGTTTCGGTTGTTGTTTGGTAATCGTTGTCATGTTTTCAGACATGACAAGACATGACCCTTCTATGGTAGGAAATGGAACGGGGCGTCAAAAGTTAAGAGTGTGGATACCCACCTACCCATCATCATCATTATCACCATCGACATGGATATGGTTGGGCGCGTAACGTCGTTGTGTTTTATAGGTCTTCCCCTTTGGTTTTGGTGTTATGTTGTTGGGAAATGTATGCCGCCGGTACCGCCTGAACAAAAACCGTACATATCATCATCTTGTGTGCAAACCCGCGGTTTCCCATCGTCAAGAAGGGGTTTAGCGGAGGGGAATAGGTATCATATTAGATGGAGTGGATTGGACATGAAGGAAAACGTAATAGTCGATGGGAAACTAATTCCTTATATCGATCCTCAACTCCAGACCATCTCTAATATTCAACTCTGGCAAGTGCGGGACGCTATTACCGTATCTCATCATCAAGTTCCACTGATGGACAATCGGAAACCCGAAAAGTCAATTGTGGAAGTTGTAGACTATGCCATGCTATGCTTGCTTCACCCCATTTTGAACCGGCAAGCAACATACGTGAATAGGACTTTTAGAAGTACTAGTATAGATAATCCAAAGGGAAAACAGGGAACCGCGTCAGATGCAAACCGGTACATTACCTTGGGGAATAGTAAGGCCATGATCAGGAGAAAAACTGTCAAGTTCAAACTAGATGCCGTACCGCGCTGCGCCTTTGTCCCAACCAGACTCCAGTCATTGCCGTGGCTTTTGCCCCATATCCCTTTCCTTTGCCGTTCGTTCATAACGCCGTCCACAAACTCTCTGCTTGCTTCCTTCCATTGCTTACTTTTATTACATCCATCTGTCCATCCGTCTTACAAATACGCAGAATCAAAGTCCCAGACCAAACCTCCATCATCATATGATATTAGTCCTCACCCCCAGCGGTTTCCTGACGCCCAACTCGTCCAGGAACCTCGTCTTATCATCCCCGATCTTGCGCCTAAACATGCCCAAATCCTTGAGCAAGCCACTCATATACTCGTCCATGTCATGAGCCTTTTCGCTAAGATCAATTCCATGGTCATTGTCCTCTTCTTCCTCCTCTTCATAAGTGTCATAATCATCATCATGTTCATAAATGAGGCCTTGATCATCATCACTAGTGACACCATTGCCGCTGTCGACGAAGGGGTCGTCTGACACTACGTTATTTTCCGTCTTTCTGCCATGAGCGGTACTAACCTCGCCCATAGCCATCAGCGGCATGGTCGAGTCCTCCGAAGACATGGCCAGCGCGGTGGTGGGGAACGAAGACACCTTGATAGGGTTCCGGAGACTCTCCAGGGCCAACTTGAGATGCAACCGCAGCGCTTCGTTTTCCGTTTGGAGAGACCGGATCTTGCCTTCGGCTACCAGACTCTTCTCTTCCATCAGCTGCTGCAGGTTTCGGACGCGCGCCTGGTAGTCCTCAAGCTGCTGTTCGGCGTCGAGAGCGCTCTTCTCCCGAGTCTGGCTATCACTCACGACCAACTGTAGCTGGCGGATCTCGGCGGCCATGGCGGCAATCTGGGCGTCGCGCTCGGCAGTGCTGAGGCCGTCAACTTGGTTGACCACGGCACGGGTGCGTATGCGCTTGGCTTGGTCGGCGTATCGGAGCGTCGAGAGTGTCTCGTCGTAGTCGGTGGGGGAGATGCAAGCGATCATGGCGGTCTTGGAGTTTCCGCCAAGAGAATCTTTGAGGAGCCAGGTGAGGACGCTGTCACGGTAAGGGACCACTATGCTGGCTGGCCCGGGTGTTCTTCCTCTTCCGGGTTTTACAGGAGAAGACGGGCGGCTTGCGCTTGACTTCGGATCGGCCAGTGCAGCGATGACACGGCCCAGAGTAGTCAAGGACTTGTTGATGTTGCTTCCTTCACGGAGGCGTTGGCCGGTGGCCTCGGTGGACTTCGCTCGCTCGCTGCCAGCCAGATCGACAAGGCGGATACGACTGCTGCGTTCTGTGGTCTCATCTGCTTCCAGATCGTGGTGGATCTGCTTCAACATAATGGTAAAGACAGCATGGCTGCGACTACTGGTGTCGTTCATTTTGGTGCTGGCTACTGTGCGGCTTCTATCGCCAATGCGCATCCACCTGATGATCTCTTCAAGTCCTCGTACGGGAACCTCGGTCAAATCTTTGACATAGGGCCCCTCGGTAGGAGATTCGCGGACCTTGAGGTAGTATGGCGGCTTGTTAGGCACGACGGGGGCGAGAAGGTCTCGTACATGTTCATTGTAAACTTCGAAATAGCTGACTTTGACATTATAGCTGATGTTTGGTGTCTCGTCCTGGGCGGAAGCAATGCGCTGGAACAAGTCTTCACAAGTTCTGGGGATGAGTCCGGGTTGATCGGGCGTTCCCATCATGGTATAAGACTTCCCCGAACCAGTCTGACCGTAGGCAAAGATACAGGTGTGGTACCCTTCAAAATTGTGGTCGAGGAACTCCTCGCCCAAGCTGTCGTAGACGTGTTCTTGGGTCGCATAGTGCTCGTCTGCTGTATTATGACTCCAGAAGCTCTTGTCAAAGGTAAACGACTTCTCCTCCAGTACCCTACGAGACCGGACACCTCGAGAATTAGCGAGGTCTGTTTCCTGAGGAACCAGAAGGGTTGTCCGTTCTGTTGCCGGGTCCATCTCAACAATGCATTTAGCATTGCGCTCGAGTTCTGTGTAGGTATAAGTGTTAGCACGGGAGTGTCTGTTGATCCAATGAACGACTAGATATATAACGTACCGCGAGGCAAAAACGCCCGAACTCTCACCACCACCCGTACATTCGCTCCAGGGTCCTTGGGGACAAAAGGAGTCGCTGGTCCATCTCGCGGTCGTAAAGTTGGGGTCGAGACATCGGAGCGGGTCTGCCGCTGACGGACGTCAAGAGAGTTCGGCATCAGGCGCGGTTCCAAAGATATTTCGTATAAAGTATCCTGTATATCGAGTATGGTGCTGCGAAATCGCAGTTGGAGAAAGTTGAACATGTAAGATGCGATCCACGAATGGTCGAGTACAAGGGTAGGGCGAGAGCTGGGGAGGGGTGCTGGTTATTGAATACCACCAACCTGGATGCTCACCCACAGACTGACAAAGGCAGGTGAGGTCCAGGTAGGAGGTAGTAGTGTCGCTGCTGTGGTAGCTGTAAAAGCTGTGTGACAACTGCCTGTGTAAGGGAAAGATCCGTTACGCCCTACGGCACGGCACGACTTCCACGTTCAGATGCTTTTGGTGACAAGGGAGCAGGGATCGGCCAATGTTTACAATGCAAAGGAGGGTGTGTCTGGGTTGCAGTTGCCAGGGCAAACCAAGATGTGTTGGTGTCCTGCAGTAGCGCTGAATCCGGGGAGACTCAGGTGCTGTTAAAAATAACCGATAAGGCAATACAGGCTCGTGGTGGTAGAGCGTGAAAATGGCGACTTCTTCTGGCAGCGATGAGGATTGAAAGTTTACAAAACAGCTCCCCGAAATTTCTATGCTTTTTTCTTCCTCGATTCTTCGAGCTAGGACTAGCATTTCGTCGATGCATGTATCTCGGGAAGCAAGTGCGTTTGCACCTGCCTTACCAGAGATCGTGTACCACAGGTGCCAAGATTGGGGTTCTGCAAGGGGTTTAGTGGGGCATCTTGTTGACGTGCATTTGGCAGCTTCGGGGCGGAGTCTTCCTTCCTGCCAGGGCCAGGGCAGCTCGTTTATCAAAACCAACGAGACCGGATCGCGCTTCCTTCACTGGTCAGTTACTCAGGCTGGTGACGTCCAGATCAGGTTTATGTATTTCTCTGGTCAATAGTGCGGTTTTTCCTCTCGAAAATAAAGATCAAAACAAGAGTTCAAAGCTGATGACGAAGTACGGTAGCTATGTAAACAGTATCTCAAGGTTCATGGGCATCAAAGAAAGCAAACACCAGAATACACACCACAAATGATTGGACAGATTCTTCCTCGATATTTCTCTATCATCACGATATTAGATGCAAGATTCGGCGGCCAAGACGCCGCCACCCGAGATATATGTCTCTAAAAACGATAACAACCGTGTACCAGAACCACATAACGCCCTGCGCAAAAACGCCCAAACGCTAGACAACACGCAAATTCCCGTACCGGTGTAAATAATTCCATGCCATGGTCACCCAACGCCGTCTACCACTCTCTACGGCGTATTCAATCCTTTGCCCAACAGTTCGCCCCCGACCTCATCGATCAGCTTCAGCTCTGGGAATGCCTTCTTCTTTTCCAGGATGCTGTTCTCAGCATCCATCGTTCTCAACAGATCCGAAAGCTCACCGTCAAGCGGCATCCGATACGCAAGATATCCCAAGGCCAACAGCATACCTTCCAGCGCGTCGCCCGAAGCCTCCTCCTGGGCGATGGCCTCCAGAATGGATACTGCCAGCTCGATCTGATCGTCCTGCGGGAGCACGTCACCCGGTCCATCCTGTCTCTTGCGACTGTTTGCCAAGGCGATGTTGAACAGCAGAGACGCCGCTGCTACCCGCACGTTGTTATGAGTATCGTCGAGAAGGCTGGACGAGACGAGCTGCGTGAGGGGAGTTCGCAGCTTGTCGTTGCTGAGAACCTCGTCGGCATAGAGCTGGCTGGAAAATAGGTTGCATGCCATTTGCAGGGTAACCAATCGAAGAGCGTATGGGCACTCCTTCAGGTCGTTGACGTGCTCCAGAAGCGCCGTGACGGTACCGTGTACCACCTCTTCGGCCAGATATCCGCTAAAACGAGGATCAACGAGACCGATTCTCATCAAGTCAACAACCGTAAAGAGAGTTTCTGTTGGCACGTTGTTGATCGAATGGCGCACAAACGTTGTGAAGGCAGCCATATCAGGCAGTGTTGCCTCAGCAGGCCCGTCTTTCGATCGAGCCTCGATGAAATGCTTAACACCCTGCACTGCCGGGTTCTGGGCGTCCGAGCCCATTTTGGTGAGCAGTTTCTCCAGAGGCGGTACTTTGGTGTAGAGGACCGGTTTTGTGCCCGGGTTCGAAAATGTTGGAAGGTTTAGAGACTGGTGGGCGTGAGCCGGCCACGCCATCTGAACCAAAAGACGCACATTCCCTTGCAACGCTCCTCGGTCTGCACCGCTCCACCGGTTTTCTTGCTTGCCCTTCAAAAACGTCACAAATGTAGGCGTTGCACTGACCGAGTAAGCGCTTCCCACGTCGAAGGCAGCTGAGACATCGACTTTGATCAAAACACCCTTGTCCCCCAGCTCAGCTGCTAGTTGGTCGTATAGAGGGTAAAGCACCTTGCACGGTGGACAGGTTGCTGAAGTAAAGAAGACGACGGCACACGAGTTCTGGTACTTCTCCAAAAGAGACTGAAGCTCCTTCAGGCTGGTGACGTTGTGGACCTTGCCCTCGTGGTGGTGAAGTTGTGATTTTGGCTTAGACGTGCTTCCAGGGGTGTTTTGCTGAATACCCAGAATGCCACCGCCACGCTTGTTGGCATGGATTTGCTGGTTGAGCATGGGCATCAGCATCTGTCCCATAGGCGAGCTGAGCACCGTTTGGGGCATGTTGATGATGTAGTCGGGAATGCCCTTTCCGAGGAGAAACGTAGCAAGGTCGTTGGAAAAATTGTTGCAGTTATGTGTCCAGAGATCATATGTCTGTTGCGAAAGTGGTCAGTAGCTGTCACCAGTTTAGCAAGCCGGTTCTATTTTCACCTACCTGCATTGTGTAAATTTCCCTCAACGAGTCTAGATACTCTTCAATCACCTCCATGGGCACTTCATACATCATTCGTCAGCAATGGAGTTTTAATGGTATCCAACGACATGATGCTTACACTCAGTCTTTCCAAGATAAATCTCCTCCAAGGGCCGGCCAAGGTGCGAAGACCCAGGGATGATGGAGACAATGTTGCCATCGTACACATATTCCCGCCCGTTTAGTTGAATCGAGGTGTGATAAACGGCGTCTAGCTGGAAACCGAGAAGACCAGCAGACATTTGTTTCGCCATACCTCGCGAGAGGTCATAGACGAGCAGGTGGACATCCATTTTGCGAATTAGTTTGAGGCGAGTGACGTGGGTCTTGGTGGTACCGGTACTCGAGTGTCGGAGCGTGGTATTACTGGTAGTAGGGGTATCTCGAGGAAAAGAACGACAAAAGACTCGACGTGATGACCGAAAAGTGCCGAAAAACTTTGTATATTGGTAAGGAAAGAAAGCAGAGAGGAGGTTATCGGGGCGTTGTTTATATCTCAGTGATTGTTGCAAGAGGCAACAGTGGTTACGAGGTCGTAGAATCATCATTCTGGAAGACGAAAGAAGCGGAAAGGTACCCTGGTACTTCTTAGGTTATGGGGGCAAGGACGCATTGCTGAAGTTGCCTGGGCCACGTCAAAGGTCAAAGACATCAGTTGGTAAACATTTTCGGGACATGTATCTTTTATTATCGGCATCATATCTTGAAAAGAACCACATTTGGGCCCGAGTTGAAAAAGCTGTCATCGAATATTCACATTCATCATTATAATCCCCCAAGTTGAAGGTGAAAACAAGGTTGAAGAGTCGTAGGGGCTCGTTACGTATTCCATCACTAACAAATTCCACTGCTGGCCCCTATTTTAAGGACTCTGGAGAACCCTATTGGCTGCCAAGCAGGGGTTCGTCCAGGTCCCGCACTGCAGCCCGAACCGGCTGGCGCGACGCCACATCCAGACCCTCACCGTCCAGGGGGCACCTGGCATCCGCAGCATCACCACTGCATGGGAAGTGTCAAGACTGTCACCGTTGTGTTTCGCTGACGGATACCGTGAGACCGGAGAGCAGAAGAGGATTGGAGAGGAAGGAACGATTCACGATTCGTCCCAGGGGCCGCCTGCCACGCAATTGTACTTTTTTATGTAAGATATTGCCAGAAAGCGGAAAGATCCAACAAGCCAAATCTCCCACCTGCAGCCTCAACCAAGAAGAAGTGCTGAAATCTTTCAAACCCAAACCCACCTCACCACCACTTGCCGCCCCTCAACCCCTATTCAAGAATTCCCATCTGGACTCTTCAATTCAATGTTGACGGACCAAACATTATAAACCTCACGACTTTCTAATTTAATTCGCCCCTGCCTCACCTTTGGCGCATTCTAGTCTCTCGTTGACCTCCTATATTTCTTGTCTGGCATGTGCAACGGCGCATAGGTAACCTGGTTTATCGCTACTATCGGAGTGCCTCGACCAGGTCCACCCACAGTTGGAGATTCCGCTAGGTCCTCACCTCCTCGAATCTCCGCGTTCCTCGCTAGCAGTTGAACGCATCGACCACATACTTGTCCCTCCACCCCCAGTCAGGCATTCATAAAGTGGCTCGGTCCCTTTCCCTATGAGGCGCACGTCGGTCTCCTTGCCGACTAAGCACGTAGCTCACGATCCCCACGAGAAGCCCGACCGCTACCGCCGCGACCAGCACAATCAGGAACCGGCCAGCGTCTTCATCAGGATGCAGAACGCTTGGATGTCGCAGTCGCAGAAGGCGCGCTATCTGAAGACGGGTGCAATCGTCTTTGCCGTCCTCTTCCTCTTCTACCTCTTCTCCCCATCAGGCGTCGAGATCCCCGGTGGAGGTAAGCATAAGTATCTTTTAGAAGTTGGTCTACACGAGTCCGAATGCTTACAACCTGTCTCTACCAGCCCCTCAAAACAACAACCAGGGTCAAGTACCCTCCGACTCGTCCTATGGCACCGACCGATGCACAAGATCCTTCTCCAAGGAGAAGCCCATCGTGCAATATGTTTCCATGATCGACGCCGGCAGCACTGGTTCCCGTATCCATGTCTACAAGTTCAACAACTGCGGCCCCGCCCCCGAGCTGGAGGGAGAGGTTCTCTTCAAGATGACCGCCAAGATTGAGGGCCAGAGCAGCGGGCTGAGCGCGTATAAGGACGATCCTCTGGCCGCCGCCACGAGTCTGGACCCCCTGATGCAGGCTGCCCTCGAGGTTATTCCCGACAAGCTCAAGGCCTGCAGTCCCGTCGCCGTCAAGGCCACCGCCGGTTTACGCCTGATTGGTCCTGAGAAGAGCCAGAAGATCCTCGATGCGGTCCGCGAGCACCTCGAGAACGAATACCCATTCCCCGTGGTTTCCAAGGAGGAGAACGGCGTCGCCATGATGGACGGTGCCGACGAGGGTGTCTACGCCTGGATCACTGTCAACTACCTCCTCGGCAAGATTGGCGGCCCTGACCACAGCCCTACCGCTGCCGTCTTCGATCTCGGCGGCGGTTCCACCCAGATCGTGTTCGAGCCCACCTTCGAGGGTCTCTCCGGCGGCGGCATGCCCCAGAAGCTGGCCGACGGCGACCACAAGTACGAGCTCGACTTTGGCGGCCGCAAGTTCGACCTGTACCAGCACTCGCATCTGGGCTACGGCCTCATGTCTGCCCGCGACGCCATCTTCGCTACTCTCGTCAACGACCTCTTCGAGCTTAACAAGCAGGACAAGTCGTGGATGCAGAAGCCCGTCATCAACCCCTGCTTCTCGACCGGCATGACCAAGGCCGTCAAGGTTCCCCTCGGCGACAACCACCCTCTCGGCCCCAAGGTCGAGCTCAACATGACCGGCCCCTCGACCCCGGCTCCCGCCTTGTGCCGCAGCCTGGCCGAGCGCATCCTTGAGAAGGACGCCGAGTGCAAGCTCGCGCCCTGCTCGTTCAACGGTGTCCACCAGCCGCAGATCGCCAAGACCTTTGCCCGCGAGGACATTTTCCTCCTGTCCTACTTCACCGACCGCACCCAGCCTCTCGGCATGCCCGAGTCCTTCACCCTCCGCGAGATGCACGACCTGGCCGCCCAGGTGTGCGGCGGCGAGCAGAGCTGGGATATCTTCACCAGCGTCCCCGGTGCGCTGGAGGAGATCAGCGATAGGCCCGAGCACTGCATGGATCTCAACTTCATGCTTGCGCTTACGCATACCGGTTACGAGATGCCGATTGATCGCGAGGTCAGGATTGCGAAAAAGATTAAGGATAACGAGTTGGGCTGGTGCCTTGGTGCTAGGTAAGTTATATACGGTTGCCAATTCTTCGCCTTGCTTACATGATTGCTAACTTCCGTTTCTCTACAGCTTGCCATTGCTCTCCCAGTCCTCCGGCTGGAAGTGCAAGATTAAGGAGATCCACTAAATCGCTATTTAGCTGGAAGCTTCCGACCGACCTACCTGACGATGGACATGTATTTTCTTCTACAACTTCAGAGACGTTAAGCCGGACTGCGGCGGACTCTCCCTATTGCTATACTGCTCAGTCGACGGGCAGATCATTGTGTAATGCGTGCTTCACAAATCGGCGTTTTACGAATATACCTCAACTAGGGAGGAGGGAGTGTTCTCCTTTCTTACCTATCTGGAAGCGACGATTGAGTGGGTTGGGACAACGCAGGGATCGGATGACAGAAAATGGGAAACGCCATCAACGGATGAAAGAAAGATATAACCAACTAAACCAACATAATGAAGGTTGAGGACTGGATGACTTTGGGATAAAAAAATCATAGATATAAGAGCTATCTGTCACCACCCAATGGAATGGTAAGGTGGCCAAGGTAGCTTGTAGCTTTGTTCTAATTTACATGTAATTTTTGTCTGCACCATCTATTGCTGCCGTCCATCCAAAGATATGTGTTGTTTTGGGCCCCCTTTTCCGCACGTCTTATCATCCTATTATGATTAAACATTACCCCTTTTCATGGCCCAAGCCACCTTCATTCATCCATCCACTCACTCTCCCACCAACACCACCGCCCTACTGGCCTACTGAGGAACAGCAACCATTCCCAAGACATCCTCGATTACTTCCTCCGGCCCGACCCCTTCTAGCATGGCCTCAACCGCGCTCAGTTCGCTGCCCCACTGCATGCTCCTCTCCCGCTCGGGGGACGCCACGATCTCGATGCGGTGCAGGTAGACCTTCTTAGCCGCCAACCCGACTAGCGCCGACGTGACGAAATCCAGCCCGTGCAGCGGCGCCAGGCTCCTCATAAGTAGTTCGAAATGCTTGGTCGCCTGCGGCGTGACGCCGCCGCTCACAGCCCGGTGCATGCGCAAGAAGGCGACGATGTTCATCTGGTAGCGCCGGACGTCGATATCCACGCTAACATCGTGTTGGGCGAGGTGAGCGAGGTGGGCGATTTCGGAATCGGAGAGGAGGGGTGGTTGTGGTTCCCCTGAGGCTGGATCGATGGCCGTGAGGTCGTTGTTGTGGAAGGTGAGTTGGGGGGAGAGCGAGGGCCTAGCTGCTCCCGCTCCTAAACCAGATCCGAAACGACCAGGACCGCCGAGGCCAAGACCGAGACCGAGACCAGGTCCGCTGAGGGCTGAGTGGTAGGATTCTTGAATCAACCCACTGTTGGCCATGCTCCCCATGCCCGTGCCCGTGCCCCTTTTGACGACGCTACTTCCGGAGTCGATGGAGGCTCGGTCATCGTCGGCCTTCGTATAAGGGCTGTCATCACCGTCGTTGTTGTCGTTATTGTTTCCCACTCCCAGTATCCCCATACGGCTGGCCCATCCTTCCTCCGCTTGTTCTTCAAGGTAAGCGAACCCATCTTCCGGATCGTGCCAGTGCGCAAGGTAGAGGAAATCGTTCAGGTGGTGGGTAACATGTGCCTGTCCGCCGCTTTCTGCGCCGACTACGGCCACGAAGAGGAACTGCTTTGGAGCGGTGTGGACGCTCGTTCGGGCGAAGAGGCGGCGCGTGCGCAGGAGTTCGAGGGCTTGGATCTGCACGGCGCGCGGGGCGTGGTCGAGGTTTTGGGCAAGGATAACATTGGCTATTTGCGTTGCTTGTGCTTGTTGCTGGTGTTGCTGGTGTTGTGATGGTGGCGGGTGGGCGGAGGAAGATGAGCCTGGGACATTATGGTGTTTCGAGGAGAAGTATGACCCAGAGCCCGATGGTACAGAGCGGTGGGTGTGGTAGTTGTTGTGGTTGTTCTGGTTGTTGGTGGCCAGTGGTGAGCTTGGTGGGATGACGGGAACTAAGAGTGCTGCTGCGAATTCATCGAGCGTCATCTGCGAGTGGCATGGGACGATGACGGGCGTGATGCCAAAGGTCCTGACGGCGGTAAGACATAGTTCTTTCGATAGGTCCTCCACAAAGTCGGGTTCGGTGCTGACCAGACAGTGTTCCCGTGCGACGAGGGAGAGGAGGACGGCGAGCTCGAGGTCGCTGAGGCTGTGTATTTTGTCCAACAGTTCGGCTTGTTGTCGCTCCTTGTTGCTATCATCCTCCATTTCCGGGGCCGCTGTCATGTCGAAGCATGAGGATTATGTCCATGAGCGGGACTATGTAAGTCTAGAAGGTAGTGTAAAAAGAGCAAAGAAGAATTGGGTGCCGATACTACGATCTTTCACGCCGGCGCTGTTTCTTGTCACCGGGACTCGGCCATTCTTGGCTGACAAGAAATCGAGTAATCGCTCGTTCCAGAGTCGCGCAATCGGCAGGATATAAGGATCTATGTGTAATTGTAATTATTTCTGTGAAGCGTACAAGTACATCGAGAGTCTGACAAAACTGAACGGAAGAAAGATATGTGTCGATCCCTTCTGCCCCTGGGACTGTTTCTTTGAGAAACGGGAGGATGGCGGGATGATGGAGATGAATGATCAATGGAGTTCCATCCAAGCATTCCCGTCTAGTCCTTGGCGTTGGGCATGCGATAGCGTGGTGGGTCGTGGGTTCCTTGTCACTGTGTTTCAGCTCGGACCAGGCCGACTTTTGGGCGTTGTCGGATGACTTCATTGGCTCCAGGGACAGCGGCCGCTCTGTGCGAGTGTGCACTCCCGGCTCGAGACAGGACCGGACCAGTGCGTGCCTGCCCGACGGCGCGCCAAAGTGCGTCGAGGGCGTAAGTGTTAGCGCTGCGATCACCTCCGTCACTGGTTCTGTGTGCAGCGTCGCTCCTCCAACAGCGCAGCATTCAGTGGCCAGCCCCAGTTCAACAAGTTCCCGCCCCAACGTCGGTCACGTTCACTTGTTATCGAAACCAGCCTCTTGGCCTTGTTTAGACTGCCGAATCTAGCAGCCTGCCACGACCTACTGACCCAACATTTGTTGCGCCCGCCGTCCTCCTCACTTCACGACTCCCGTCTTTTCTCGATTATAATCACCCGGTGGACTGTTGATCTCGACGATTGCCCGGAAACACCAGCCAACAGCAACTCCATCTTGTTCCGGTTCCTACGCCTTTATCGAACGACGTTATCTAATTCCATACCGCCCGCCATGTCTTCGAGGAAGAAGGTCCTTCTCAAGGTTGGTGTCAGCCGCGAACCCGGATCATCTGGACAGCAACAGCTAACAATGGCTCCCAATGGCAGGTTATTATCTTGGGCGACAGCGGTGTCGGCAAGACCAGTTTGATGAACCAATATGTACGCCATCCTCGAACCCGCTATCGCCGTAGGTGGTGATATTGCAAAGAAGACGTTATCTGACACCCCGCTCTTTGGCGCAAAACAGGTCAACAAGAAGTTCAGTGCCAGCTACAAGGCCACCATCGGAGCCGATTTCCTGACGCGGGAGGTTCTGGTGGACGACCGCCAAGTGACGATGCAGGTGCGTGCGGCAAATACCCCGGTTTGACCAGCTTGGACGGCCTGCTAATACGCACAATTCTCGACGGACAGCTCTGGGATACGGCGGGACAAGAGAGGTTCCAGTCGCTGGGCGTCGCTTTCTACCGTGGTGCCGACTGCTGCGTTCTAGTATACGATGTCAACAACTCCAAGAGCTTCGATGCGCTCGACAGCTGGAGAGACGAGTTCCTTATCCAAGCATCTCCGCGAGACCCGGATAACTTCCCGTTCGTCGTGCTGGGTAACAAGATCGATATGGAAGAGAGCAAGAGGGTGGTATGTCTTTGCTTCCCTGGTCTTTATGTTGGAGCTCCAATGTTTACTGACATTTTGTCGCAGATTTCGACCAAGAGGGCTATGACCTTCTGTCAATCCAAAGGCAACATTCCGTATTTCGAGACCAGTGCAAAGGAGGCCATCAATGTCGAGCAGGCCTTTGAGGTTATCGCCAGAAACGCGCTCATGCAGGAAGAATCGGAGGAGTTCAGCGGAGACTTCCAGGATCCCATCAACATCCACATCGAGAACGACCGGGATGGATGCGCGTGCTGAGGCGAAGGAGCTCCAACAAGCAGTTTCAAGTCCTCCTTTTGGGTTTATGAGGGAGTTTGGTTTTTTCATGTCTTCATTTGTATGATATCACGCTGGGTATGACAGGAATGCGGTTTTGATCTTGGTCTGGAGAGACGGAATGTTAATGACCAGCGAGTTTGGAACAAGACGGTCAATGGGCTGCTTAAAAGTGATTGTGACTGATGGGGAGCAATGATAGAGATGCATTGGTGTAGATGGGAGCATGGACATTATTATGGGGCTGGTGCCAGAGGCTAATATTTCGACTGCCTTTGCTCTTTGAGTTTCTATAGCTGACGATAACATCATATCTGGTATTAGGACCTGCAGTTTTCTGAAGTACCTATACGTGTTGTTCCCTTGCTTCAGTCGTCAACATTGTGTAAGAAGTGGCCATAGGTCAATACTCTCCAAATCAGAGTTGTACCATGGCATGACAATGCCTCTTCTGCAATTGCTTGCTGCCAACTGTCAGCGATGCGAGGCAACTTCTTTGTGACCGTTATCGGCGATAAGCGATGCACGATATGCGTCTCGGCATAAATGTTTGATGGTTATTCACATTAGCAACGACAACACTTGGGCCTTCAACTTCACTTCTTCATACTACCTCGTCTTCCGCCTTTTCACCAGGATGAAAATCTTCACCAATGGGCCAATGACAAAACCGTCACCAACAGTAGCGCAATGGCGCGATACTTCGGTGTTCGAGTACAAGTGGTAGAAGAGAAAGCGACGGACACCTCAAACGGCCCGCGGAACTTTTTGTTGACTGGAAATAGCAACCCGTTTCCACTATTCCCCTCAGGGGCTGGATTGTTATCACAGGGACTCCCATGGCGCCTCCGCAACTCTACTCGACTTTGAGATTTTGCGATTCCACTTCCCCGGAGTGAGAAGCAGCGACAAACCCACCTTTTGGACCCCCTACCGGGATCAGTATAATTATAGGCGGTGTCGGCTTTGGGAGCGTCGTGGCCACAAGGGGGGGAGAAGGAAGGACTCCAAACTAAGGGCAAAGAGATGTAGGTAAACATCGGTTGCCCCTCTTTACTCCTTTTCATCCTGTTTCTGTTTCCATCCAATATCTCGGGATGTCCCGTTTCGTCGTTCTGTGCTCTGAACTCTAAAACTCTTGAAGAAGCAGCTGGTCTAGCCTCTCTTGTTAGCGTTCCTTCATTAATATTGGTAGGTTGTCTTCCCCTAATACCCCAATAACAATTTCCATTGTCTTTGCTGTACATAGTTCCTTCCTCACCTCAGCTCTCTCCAACTGACGCCGCATCGTTAGCCCCGTGGTCGCAGCAACCAATGATACCGATAAGGTCCCCTGCGTCCGCTTCGCAACTCCCGACTCTTCTCACTGTCTGCTTCGGGACCCTGCCAATCCTCTTGCAACCTCTCGGCGTTTTGTTTTCTGGTTCGAGCCTGTCTTAAATCCTCCTCCCCAGGGCTGTCCGGAGACTCAGCTCCTGCTGTTGTTTCAAGCTTCGTTCGGCCGTTTCGCGACCACTCCCACCCAAAGCAGAAAATGGCAACTGCCCGGTCAGTGTCGCCGGCGGCTGCCGCATTAGTGCCGCCCTCAAACGGAAACTACCATCAACGCCGCAGCTACGAGCCCGAACACGACGACGATGCCGATTCATACAATGCTGTAGACCGCAGCTCGCACTCTCCGTCCACAGTAAGTGTCGAACTCGTCACGCGAGGGCGATCATCACGCTCTCTCTCCATGTCGACAACAGCGAGCAAGGGGAGCTTCCGCTCCAGGATGCCCCTTTGGGTCACAAACATGGGACGACGGACGCTGGGAATCACATTGCTCCTGGTTGTGGTATTCCTATGGACGGTATCCAACTTCCTCGCCAGCGTAAGTTGCGCAAGCCCCTATCCGTACCTCTAGCCCTCTTTTTCCTGTGCGAGCACGCGCGCTGACAGCCAATTGTCGGTCTATGATTCACAGGTCATGTTCGCCGATGGCTCCTACAACAAGCCCTTCTTCCTCCTCTACGTCAACATCTCCATGTTCGCCTTCGCCCTAATACCCATGGGAATCCGACACGTTATGCAGTGCGGGTGGCCGGCATCGAAGCGACAGCTGGTGGAGGCCTGGTACGAGATACGACAGGGCAGGTCATACCAAAAAGTGGCCACAGTCGACGACGAAGACGAAATGGCGGGCGAGAGCCTTTTGGTCGACGACACAGGCAGCATCGAAACCAACAACAAGTCTGAGGCGCTCAGCCTGGCTAAGACCTTCTGGCTCAGTCTCGAGTTCAGCATGCTGTGGTTCGCGGCCAACTACTTCGCGTCGGCATGTCTCGAGTACACCAGTGTCGGCAGCGTGACCATCCTGACATCGACGAGCAGTATCTGGACTCTGATCTTCTGCGCGCTGGCCGGTGTGGAAGGGTTTACGGTACGGAAACTTCTGGGAGTGCTGGCGTCGCTGGCCGGCGTGGTGCTCATCTCGTCGCTGGACATGAGCGGCGCGAGTGACGAGATGCGAGGAGACTTCCCGGAGAAGTCGAGGACGGAGATTGCCATTGGCGATGCCATGGCCTTCTTCAGCGCCATTGTGTATGGCGTTTATGTGACGGTTATGAAGAAGAGGGCTGTGGATGAGGATCGAATGAACATGACGCTGTTTTTTGGGATTGTGGGGGTACTTAATCTGATATTCCTTTGGCCACTATTTATTATCCTGCATGTCACAGGGATCGAGACTGTAAGTGATCCCCATCGTGTGGTTAGGGATATTTGGCGAGACTTGGCGAGCTGTGCGTGGCGTGGACACACTTTGCTAATATCTGCCTCTGTTAGTTCGAACTACCACCAAACGGCACAACTTGGGCCATCATCTGGGTAAGCTAGAGTACCGTCCGTCCTATGAGTCTTATGCAGGGCCAAAACTAACGATACACAAAAACAGATCAACACTATCTCTTCCTTCTTCAGCGATATCATCTGGGCATACGCCATGCTCCTCACCACGCCGCTAGTCGTTACCGTCGGCCTGTCCCTTACGATCCCGCTGTCGCTTATCGGCGAGATGATCCAATACCACCAATATTCCAGCTGGATTTACTGGGTTGGAGCTGGTATTGTGGTCTTCTCGTTCGTGTTTGTGAACAACGAGAGCCAGGAGGAAGGCGGTGGTAATGGAGAGGGCAAAGCGGACGGTAAGGAGCAACATACAACGGCTGAGCTGAGGAGCATTGTGGGAGGATCGAGTACTTCCGACGCAGCTATCGCTGTCTAATAGGTCGAAGATATTTTGAGTGGCTTCTGCTGCAGAGCGTGGCATCTTTTGGATATTGCATATAGAGATGGGAGCCTTTTACTTTCCGGCATGCCATTCTGGCTATTTCTTTTTCAATCTACTTATATACAAGCTCTTGGTAGAGCTAGACACTTCCCGACAGTGTCATATACATATTCAACTGTCTATATTCAGGAGTGTCGATACAATGATAGATATGGTACATGTCTGCTTCTTGTTCCATCAACGAGGCGTAGTGTGCTGGGTGGTCACTCAGGAAGGGAGGACACGGTGTAACTTGACCGTTCATTGCTGGGTAAACATGACCGCTCATCGGTCAAGCCAGAAAAAAAAACAAAAAAACCGCGCAGATTCATCAGGTTCAATACAAACCTCCTTTGGAGAAATCTGACGGGACTACGCGAATGTTGATGATCGCGAGCCATTGGGGCTGTGGATGTTGAGGTGACGTACATTGCGCACCGTTCCTTCGCCACCAGCCGTTGACCTTGCTACCGCATCTTCTCACTCGATTGGAATACCCTTTAAACTCCTCTCAGTTTAGACTGGCCCCCATCTGCAAGACTCCCGCAGGCCCGCTGTAACGTTCTGGGAGCCTAGCGTACACTGGCAACGGGTGGCCGCCTCGCTTCAATGCCCATCTTAGGTATGGCGGCTCACTTCCATGTATCCTAAGATATTTAGGTGCTTGCCAAGGGGTATTCCAATCGAGTGAGTAGATGCGGTACTGACGACGGGACAGCAGCATAGGTTCAAGAGAAACCCCGGAAAACACTATAATTCAACGACTTCTGATTATATTTCTGCTTCTACACTCAACCGCCCTATGCGATCGTATTTCAACTTTTGTCGGTTGCGTTTCCGGGATTTTTCTGTTGTTGAGGCGTAGTTCATGGCTACTCGCATGGATCTCTCACCCTTCCTTCCCATTCTCATTCGCCATCATGGTCCGAGAGCTCTTGACACTTTCATACTGTCAAGCCCAACAATTCATCGGAGTCATTGCCTCAAGTCACAGTCAGGAGTGGATCGGGTCGAGATGTGGCCGCCATTGCTCTTTCCTACCTACAACTTGACCCCTTCCCTCGGCACGAATGAGGTGCGGTTTTCCGCAGTGTCATAAGTTATGACCCATCCAAAGAGAAACTCTAAACTCTACGACATGAACAGTAGCACCTAGGATTATTCCCCATTTCTCTTGGTACCTATTTGACTCACGGAACTGCAACATCTATTCGTCCTCATAGTATTCTTACTCATCCGATCGGAGGGCCTTCCTGTCCTACTTCCCAGTCGGCGGTCTCAGTCTGCTGTGTATCGTGTCTCTTGTTCCTCCCAGAAGCATGCCTGCACCCCCTCAGTAATACCCTCAAGGCCGCTACGTCAAATTTGCGCGCTTTTCAGCATCAACAACTGAACCAAAAGTTGTTATCAGACTGTGACCCGAGATATCAAAAACCACGAGTGTCCGGCTACAGATACGACCAAAATGGCACGCTCAAGTCCCGCTCCCCAGTATTCCCATCTTGGAGACCAGATCAACGCGGCCACGAGATCGGTGCATACCCAGCTTAACAGTCAGATCATCCGCCGTCTACCTCTGGCTCTACCTCCGGCTGCGAATACTCCCTCAACCTACATATCCGGTCTGCTCCACGTAGCCCCGGTATACATCACCTTCGAAACGCTATGGTACATGATCCTTCTTTCCCACAAGGAGCAGACGAAGGACTTCAGAAAGCCGTCACCATACCAAGGCAGATCGTCCTCTCCTCAGCCACTGCAGGAACAGGACCGATTTCTCCTTGATCCGAAGACCTCACATCGTGTCCCTTTCCACGATGGCGACGATGCGGGCCTCTCTCAACGCCCTGGTACCTCTGAGCGCATATTCTCCATCCTGGAAAGCCTTCGTCTTCCAGGTCTCATGCGAGCCGACTGCCTACGGGCGGACATCCGTTGTCTGACAGGCTGGTCCAAAGAGGTGGTGGACGAGCAGATTGAGGTTGCGGCTCAGAACGGAAACCTCAAGAAGTTCGTCACCCATATCAAGCAATCTGTGGGCGAGAGTCCGCATGTATTGCTCGCTTATGCATGGGTCCTTTACATGGCGCTCTTCTCCGGGGGCCGAATTATCCGAAACTCGTTGGAAAAGGCAGGCCCGGAGTTCTGGAAGACCAAGTGTGATCCCATCATACCCCTCAACAAAGCATGCGCATTTCCAGACAAATCCCACGCAGCGGCACCGATGAGCGAGCGTCTCCGGTTCTTCCACTTCAACACCAACCAAGACGGAGAGGATCTGAAGCGTGAGTTTAAGAGACGCCTGGTGGAGGCGGAGGATCTGCTCACGACTTCTGAGAAGGCGAGGATTGTGCACGAGGCTATTCATGTTTTCGAAAACATGCTTGCGCTTGTCTCGCAGCTAGATCATGTCTTCTTGGAGGGCACCAGAGATGACAGCGTTTTGGACATCAATGTGACGAGACCTGATCGTGAGATGGAGACACCTTCACCCTCACCGGGACCTTTGTCCTTCAAACCACTGGAACAGGGTGGTAAGATACGCGACAGTATTGTTCTCTCAAAGGAGCGGGGTGTCCGAACAGCCCCCGGCATGAGACACCATCGTCGTTCTCAGTCTGTCTCGATCGATGAGCCACTCGACGAACGTGGCGACAGATCTTCAGACGTGCCTTCTCCATATCTGGTAGCTTCTCTACTCAGGCCCATGGAGCAAGGCGGTCGACTGCGCGACAGCATTGCCGTCTCGAGGGAACGCGGTCTACGGACTGCTCACTACGGTTCCCACAGCCATTCTGAATCGACCTCCATCGATGAGAATCCAGAGAGCCCTATCTCGCCAGAGAAACCCGAGAGCTTGAAGCTGACCACCACCCATCCCGCATCGGACCCGTCGTCCCCCTCCATGCCGGGTCCCAGAAGCATGCTCGACCCGTTCACTAGCAGCATGAATGAACAAGGAACACCAGCCGGTTCCCAGCCATCGTCGTCGTCGGAAATATCTTCCCTCGTCACCCGAAACAAGAGCGTCAGGTTCAAAAAGCCTACCACGGGTGGCCGCAGCAGCAAGAAAGTTGCCGAGTCAAAAGACTCTGAGAGTCAGGACCCGAACAAGGAGGAGGCCGAACGTCGACGAATGTCTTCTGCTGAAAAGGTGTCTCCAACGTCAGACCATAACCCAGCCGGTGCGGTAGCCATCCACATCGTTGACGTCGAGGAATCTGATGCTGATGATTCTTCTGGTTCTGACAAGCAGATGAAGCAATTGCAAGAGCAGCAGCAGCAGCAGCAGCAGCCAAGGACGGAGGCACCTGGGGAACATGGAATTATATCTGTCATAATCACGGACACTGCGATGATGGAGCGGGTGGAAAGCAACAGTGATGGTCGACCTCTGAGTGATGAAGAGTCCACATCAAGGTCCGGAACCGGCGGACTGTTGACGACGGAGCACAATGACGGCGATGGTGACAGGCCGGTCTTGAAAAGATCTCCTTCATCCTCATCCTCGCGACACAAGATCAAATCCTGGTTCTCTTCTCATTTCACCAAGGTGGAGAAGGTAGAAAAGAAGACCGAAGTCGAAGACACTACTCATAGTGACAACAGCGACAAGTCCTGGTTCTCTTCCCACATCTCCAAAGGGGAGAAGAAAATCGAAGACACTGATCATAATACCAACAGCGACAAGTCCTTGTTCTCTTCTCACATCACCAAGGTAGAAAAGGAGGTAGAGATCAAAGACACTGCTGCTGCTGGTCATGATTCCAGCAACGACAAGTCCTTGTTCTCTTCTCACCTCCATGTCACCAAGGTAGAGAAGAAAACCGAAGTCGAAGATATCGGTCATCATGGAGCCAGCGAAGTGAGAGTGACCGAAACTATCACCGAAGCCGCCTCTGCCTCCACTTCAGCCGGCCCATCATCAGCCCTCAGCCTCAAATCCAAAATGAAGAACAAGCTCGCACATGGCCAAGACAAGCTGAAAGTCAAGATGGACCACGCTGAGGAGAAGCTGAAGCGTGGCACAGAAAAAATCAAGGTGAAGAGCAAAGAGTTGTCGCTGTTGGCTATCGGGCCGGTGAGGTTCATGTGGAAGTTTGTCTTCGTGCTGGGCGTCCTTGGTGCGGTCTGGGGCGTGGTGAGCTTAAGAGGGATGCTTGGGTGGACGTTATTGCCGGTGACGATGGCGGCGAGGGCTGCTGGGTGGGTTTTGGGTGGGTTTCGTGGTGCTTTTGCTGGTGCTGGCTTCCAGGGTGCTGGTTTAGGTGCTGGTGCTGGTGCGGGTGCGGGTGGTGGGAATGTTTGAATGATCCTGGGTTTGCGAGGTCGTCGTATGTGTAGGGGACTGATTGGAGGTTCTTCCAAAAGTTAAAGAAAAGTTTAAGAGGGTGCTTGGTTTACCTGGGGTTGCTGTGGTCTAGTTTGTTGCTTTTGTTGGATTAATGACGTTATGAATGCTCTAGTTTTGTCTTACTCTTACCAAGTTTCCTAGTTAAATAGAGTCTCGAGTTTACTCTTACTTCTTTTTTTCCCCCTTTTTCGGTTCTCGTGAATGAATATCTTGTGTGCGGTCTTGCTTTGTCACCACAACGTGAACTCTATTCTCGACCGGTAGCAGATCCTTCAGCCAGCGACACACGATGGAGTGAAAACCCCCGTTGCAAAGACTACAATTTTCCACTGCCGGCCTTGCGACTCGTTCTTTCTTCTTCTCATGTCGGCACCTTTTGGTCATGTTGACTTTCACTCCCCCCTTCCCCTTTCGTAAGCTAGCCATTCGCACCTTCTCATTTTACCTTATGCTGAGGATTCCCAGAAAAAAATATCCACGGAAGACACAGGTGACGATTCATGCCACGACGCAGGACGTGCCTGCCTGCCACTGCTAAACTGCAATGGTCTCCATCGATTGGGTTAGGTTGACTGACAATGGATCATGAAGACGGGCATGTGAGGGGTATCTACTAAGAACCTGCATTCTGTTCCAAAAATGCCTCTGGTTCAGTTCCCTCGTTGCCTCTGTGTCTTATGAATGGTTGGAGTTCAACTTCAACTTCTCTTCTTTACTTGTGACTATTAGGTTGCCAGACGTTTACCAGTAGTTACTAGGAACATAAAACGTCCGTCCAGTTGCAAAGATAACTTAACACAGGTTGGTTTGTATCCGAATACTGGAGAACATGGTTGACATTTTAAAAATATCGTCGATACCGATGGGTTCAAGACTTTAGGAATTATCGTTTGGATGATGGATGGGCAAGTTTCAAGTTGGTTATCACTTCCCTGATTGGATTTATCTGCTCAACTATCTCGGTTCTTCCTTCTTCAACAGGATATCCTATTCTTTTCTAACAGGTGAGTCAGTGGAAGTACCGGTTTCCCTTTATATATGTTGAAAAAGAGCAATAAAGATGGTGAATTGTCATCATCCAATGTGCATTGTTATCACTTATTGACAGCATTCATGCATATTCGGACGAGTTGTTGGCGAGTGGCCATCGTGACTTGTGATAATTTTTAGTTCCCGATGTTGACCCATTCGATGGCCAACCGCCCGGGCAGTTTCTGAAATTTCTGGACATATTCATCATCCCATAGCCGTTAATCGCGACTATCATATCCATCTCTTGACGTCCAAGGACCAGGAACACCATGTTGTCATTTCCAAGATGTCGCCTAGGTATTCGGACTTCTGACTCTTGAGGATGGCGTAAGGGCTGCCTATTCACACCATGTCGCCATACTGAGTGAGAGTCTACTGCAACTTACAAAATCTTGCCAACTTGGTAAGTATGACGCTGCGCCTAGCCTACTTAACATGCGAACCAAGACAAGAAGAGCGGCCTACCTAGGTAGAGAAAGTCGGCATGGAAGTTGCTTCACCTCTGAAACTTTACACTGCGAAAAGTCCGATCCGCATAATATGTCCAGATCTCCTCCTCCTCAGCACCTGCTCATGTCGGGAGATGAGGTAATGTGGTAGTGGTGTGGCCAAGCCCGGCAGCTGGTAACCAGGTCAGCCAGGCAAGTTGAAACTGATATTTCAGTCAAATTCGTGACCGATATGAGAGAATTTGGGTGTAGTCTGAAACAAGCTTTGAGTTTTCAGATGAACTTCCGGTCAATCAGGTATGTTGTCTACATCATATCATGCATATAACGAGGGGGGAGGGATAGATAAAGAGACAGTACAGACAGCAGCAGCTAGGAAGTGCAGAGGTAGACTTCCCCATACAATATCCCGGCACACCCGGACAGAGATCGTGTGTGTCCTAGGCCCAATTTAATGGAAATAGGTATGTAGCGAGAGAGAGGTAGGAAGAAAAAAGACAGTTCCTGGTCAGCTACGAATAGGCCTTTGGATCGATGTACCTCCTATGATGTGCTCTCTGATCAGTTTAGTCCCGAGCAGCAAACCACCCACCTAGTAATTAGTCTGGTCCTCAATTAGATCTTTTGATCGTCCCCACGAGGACCTCATAGGGGAATTCACGGGGCACCTCAGAAGTTGCATATACTCACTTGGGCTCCACCTAAGGGTTGAGGTCGGAACCCAAGGGGGTGGGAAAATTATGGGAATGTTCGGCTTGTCCCTTCTCCGGAACCCAAAAGTAGGTAGCATATGATGTGAGTATGATGGTAATCCTCCTCCCTTGCTGGAAATCAACTAGACCGACCAACCGGGACGCGAGGAGAGTGACGAACCGGGGGGATAGGGGGAAATAGTGTAGTGTAGAGCCCAAAGCACAACAAAAATCGTCGATGACAACCTTGAAATCCGATCGATTGTGGATGTGAATCGGGCACATCGACTTCAGTAGAGTCGACCTGGACGAGTTGGACGGGGTTGTGACTGGACAGATGAGGTCCGAGAGAGAGCCTCATTAAGCGAAAAGCGATGGTCGCGTATATGAGTGAGAGGTCTTGGTGATTAAGATGGGTTTTTGGTGTGCTGATGAAGTGATCGGCGGTCTTGTCGAAATCACCCCATCCGCTGCTGTGGTACCGTGGGGGAAAGAAGAGCCCTAGCCCAAGTCGTGTTTGTAGCGTGGGCGTCTGGCAGTACCTGGAAGAGGACACAAGAATAGGCAAGTTTGGAAACTTTCAAGGATGAGTGAGCCGAGTACTTGGAAAAGATCGATGGCAGGATGTTTTTGAGATGAGAAAGGAGGAAAAGTCTGTTGAGGTGTGATTTTTGTGGTTCGATAGGAAAACTTTTGGTCTGATATGGTATGATCTGCACTCTTGCCGTCCTTTATACTCCCACACTGAATGGTATGCATTTAAGTGGCGACGATAGACAGCATAAAGGCTTGGTAGGACGATTGTGATCTCGATGAGAACATGAGATATGTCGTCAATGTCACTCGTGGCCGCCGCATAGTAAGATCCCACACGGGATAACTGTAGGAGCAAGTCATCCGCGAAACAGAAACAGATGCTTTCGGAGACATTCACTGTGAAACGGTTGAAAGAGTGGATAGTACCAAGAGAACGGTTCGAAAGATGGATGGCGGATGGACGCCAGGAGACAGCTCCGGTCCTTCTGTACCGGTACGCGCGTTGCTGCTAAGCTTCTCGGGGACTAGGCGGGTGAATCTCGATGCAAGTCACAATTGACATGATGGCGTGGATGGGTTTCCGGTTTTAGTTGGGCTCACAATTCCCGTCCCTTCCCACAACGCTCCAAAAATCGCGGGGTATCTGGGTAATGTACGTGATCTCTTGTGGATTCAGGGCTGCACTCCGGAGACTTTGTTGTTGGCCCATACAGAGCGTCGTGGAGACGGCTTGTCTGTACACGTACTTTTCTCGGACGGTTCTCGCTTCTTGGCCTTTCGCCGGATCGCTGTCCTTCCGCGCGGGAGATGAGGTTGAAGACGTGATGTTGATGAAAGCTCCATCAAAACTGCTGGGCAATGGTGGGGTTGCAACAAGATGAAGTGGAAGTACCGCAACAAGTCAGGTACGGCAGCGCTAAACCAAAGCTTGTTGGCAGCTGGCTGCAAGGGACAGAAGATGTCGCCGCGACCGGCTGGCCAATGCACTTTCACGGGGCGAAAACCACCGAGTACCATAGATCGGGAAGTCTTCCAGCCATTGCGATTGGTTCGTGTGAATTGCTGGCTGCTCCTACACACAGAAGCGATGAACACCCATTTTGCACGGTTGCACCTTGAGATTTCAATCCCCCTTTTCCTCAATACCCAATGCCTATCGCCAAGCGGATATAAGTAGAAACGCGAAACACAATGTCTGTTATTGCCATTTACCGGTAGCCTGCGATTGCTCAGCAGAAAAGATTCTTGAAGGTACACACTATGGGAGTGCGTCAAGCCATCACTCAGTGGTACTCATCGATCGATCTCGGTCGGAAACAAAAACCAAACGGACGGATGGACTGTTCGTTCGCATCAACGCCCCGAAAACCGTCGGGGAAGAACCATGTGCTAACGTTCCACCGTTGGCACTCTTAATTTTCTCAACACCGACGAATCTGCGAATCTACACTAAGCCTTGGAACAGACACAATCGAGGTTTGTAAGCCGCTGATTTGACGTGAAGAATCAAAAAGTCTCTCTCCGAGCTCCGACATGGCCTGCTTGGCTGTCTACCGTAGTGTATGTATGTAATCGCTTTGTGTTGAAACTCAGTTGTGCTCCATGTCTGTAGTGTAATTCAGCAGGAGAGTCCACTGCAGTCAATGGATTCATTCTTGCTGACACCGTAATGATTGCCCAGCACAAAGGTCCTAGCTAGCATGGAAGACAAAACACAGAATCATCCGTGTCAACGTGTCTTGGATGCTGTACGCCATATCCACGGTGTTTCCTTCTGGGCAAGCACAAGGTCCAGCCATCCAATGACAAGAAAAACTGATGGATCGAGAAGTATCGAGAATCGTGGAATTGCCATCCCCCCAAGAACCGAAAAAAGCAGCTCGCACCAAGCAATGGCATCCCACCAGGGCACCGCACCGCATATCACTCTTAGCATACACTATTTGGGGGCGCACGATCGCACACCTGGCGGGGGATCTGACGAACTGCTCTAGTTGCCGGGCTGAAATGTTGTCGGTCCAGACCAACGGCGGGGCAACAACCCCCCTCCCCACCCATCTGTCCCGTTGCAGCTGTGATAGCTGTTGAGTCTGTGACCAGGACCGACGGGTTGGAAAGGGCTGGTAATCGATGGATTCGAAATGAATCCCATGTTGCAAAAGGTGTCGACTACACAAGGTGCGTTTCGGTTCACTGGTCAGGTGCAAGTACGGAAAAAGTTGTCACGTAATTTGTCACAATAGGT